TATATTATTATTATTATTATTATTATTATTATTTAAGGGTATTTTAATGTATTGCTTTTACAAACTTATAAAGCATATTATTGCCATGGCATATAACGCACAATGCTTCTCCAATCCAGTTCTATGAATCTGAGTTCTATCAATCTGAGTCTTTCATAATACAAACACTGATTTACTGTATCTCCTCCTCTCCTGTATTTTCTCTACTCTTTTCGTGATGAAGACTTGATTATACCTAAAAGTATCCGAAATCACACACACTATACCTCTTCTCTCCCGTCTCTCTCCTCTTCTGGGCCTTTCTCTCTTTCTCTCTCTCTCTCCTTTTCTGTCTGTCTCTCACACGATGAATCCAGTCCTCGCTGCGCTGCCGTTAGCCTCCTTCGCCTGGTTAATGCTAGCTACTCATCATTTAAAGTTACCATAACGTCTTCTTCTGTACGCTCATTCTCCTGATCATAGGTCTGTTTAAAGATGGTGTGTATGGAAAATGCCTCAATGAAGATGCCTCCTCTCTTATTTCTCTCGCGTTTGTTAAATCCACTTGTCCACTCATTTATGACAGATATACGTTACACTAAAGTCCGCTCAGTTTAGTGCGGGTTATTACAAAACTGACGTTTCCGCGCTTGACCAATTACAGTATTCTGTTTAGTTAAAGAAAAAAATGCAGTTTAAATATAATAATAATATTAATGTGTGATCGCGATTTTTTTGCTCAGAGGAAATACAGTTGTCTGAGCAATATAGTTTTTGCAGAGAGGGAGGCACCTACAATAAGGCTAAACATTATTAAATACCCACGAGACACTTGTGACTTTATATCACATTTGCATTATTTTTAAAAATGTTTTCTTCCTTATAAAAATAAATATATTTCCAATCTGATATGTAATGGGGCAGAAAAAAAGTAGCACGAGTGCAGCTGATGGTGGATTCGAACCGAGTTTATAATTTATCGCGCCAAAAGATAGTGAGGTGCGCCTTACAAGTGCGCCATTGCGGCTGTAATAATTGGTAGCTCTGCACTCGTCTTGTCTCTATCAATCAGGCATCGATGGGCGTAAACTCTGCAAAGCTTATTCCAGCTAGATGCGCTATTTGCAATTAGCCAAAAAAAAGACACTCCGAAATTGTCTTTTTTTCTCCCCCCTCGCAGGGGCCCCTAGTGCGCACGGGCCCCTGGGCCTGTGCCCATAAGGCCCATTGGTTAATCCGGCCCTGACTGGATGTGCTTCAGGTGTGTCGGCAATCAGTGTAAGTGGAAGACGTAATGTCAATAGTCCGGTGATGGTGACCTCTGCTGGCCAGCGAGGGGAATGACTGGGACCGAGTCGGTGACAGTAGCAGTTAGTAAAAGCTGCACTTTTTGCCTTGACTGTATTGAAAGTTTGTGCAACAAATTTTTGCATTCCAAAGATCAAAATGAAAATAAAAATATCAAATACGAAATTTTAAATATGGAACAATTGCTCATTTAATCAGCGTCATGTTATTTTGGTTTATCCCGCCCCTTTTCACTGCACTTTTCACATCTTAACGCAATCTCACTGTAATTCGTAACTTTTGGATTTTGTGGTTAATTCGTATTAATTTGTACGATCCCATTCTTACATTTTAGTATGATTTGCACACCCCAAATGAGGGCTAAGTTTAAAGGCATGCCTCCTTTTTAAAAGCGCACATTTTAATATTAAAAAAATTTGACAGTTTTCTGACAATATGTAAAATGGTTACATTTCCTCGTGAGACTAGGTTGTAATTTCACATGCTAAAACTCTTGGTTTGCATCACGATACTTTAAAAATTGAAGGTTTATGTTTAGAAAATGTAATGTTTTCTTTTTAAATTGAATAATAATTATATTTCGTGTGCACTGATTTTTGGTCCTCCAGGTTGGGAGTTGAGGATTGGGCTAACGAACTACCTCGTAAAAATTTGATGTTACAAAATACCTAC